AAACTTGGTCGTGCTTTTATTAGAGAGAAATAATGACAAATTACAAGCATTTCAACTTTGCTAGAAAAAGTACAAGGAAATGCAAAAAATAAATCATGAAGAATTAAATTCTTCTGCTGAAAATCCTCTTCTTCTCTTATAATCTCTACATTCACATGATAATTTTGTCACTAATCAACTCCCTAAAGTTTTCTCTTATATTTAGCATGGACCACAACGTGCTTAGGAACTAAATTAGAATTAAAAATGTCAGGCAGTCCTGTTGTTGTGCTGCATCAGATGCTGGCACTAGGTTGTGCTTCTAGCATTGTATTGCCAAGCTTCAACACCATGGCTCTGAACTCTATCTGTTGGGCTACATTTTTCTATTTCTGTCACTTGTGAACTTGAAGATGTAGCACCATTACACCATGCTTTCTTTTGCATATTTTCCACGACTATGAGAAATTCATGCTATAAACATAATAATTAAAAATTATATATTAAAAAATAGGGGCAACTACATACAGACCAACTGAAACTTGCTATTTACAAATCAATGTCTCTCTTTCATCTTTTTTTAAATTTGCACTCAAATATTAAAACCCTTGGTAAAACACGAACTCATATTTTTTTAATTTTATCAAATTCTCAATAGTTTGATCGTGACATATGTAAATACATCAGTTCAGAAGTTCAAAAAAATTACATGGATAGGTAATTTGTAAATATCAATATTTTGGGCGGCTAGTATGTAATTATCACCAAATAATATTATTTTTGTTCAAAATATATGTTTAAGTATTTATTCCACTTTACTAAAATACTCAAAATAATAAGTTTACTTAAAGTATTAAGATTAACGCTTTTTTTAACAGTTTTTCTAGGAATGTTTTTAAAGTTCATTGAAGGATACAATATGTGGTTTTTAGACAAATCACAACATTAGAAAAGAAAAAAAAAAACACTATAATTTAAACATTTAAATGGGACAATCATAGAATAAAGAAATAATAAAATTTAAGAGAGACTGGGACTAAAAATATAATTAGGCTATGTATACATATAACATAACTAGAATTTTCAGACACAAATCGATTGTAGCAGAAATATATATATATATATATATATATATTTTAGCATAAGGCACAAGTACCTCTTGATTCGTGCCCTTTACCTTCTAAATTAGCTTGGATAGTTCTATATTGTTTCGACTGGAATATGCTACTCTATCAAAGGTTATAACAGCTGGTTCAATTAGTTTAACAATGAATCGGGCATACAACTGATCCTGGTAGCCACAAGTACTAATTCCGCACCAAACTAATGTGAACCAATAGTTCGAACTAGTCCCTACAAATAGATCGCATAACATGATATAAATTTAAAACGTATATCATGTTATGCGATCTATTTTGTAAATTAAATTTAATTATTCACAAGATAATATTCAACATTTGGTATTTTCAAACTTGAATTGATCATAATATATGATATGAATCGGGCAGCACGATCAATCAATAACTAATATTTTAATAAATAGTTAAGTACTAAAAATTGAATATATTAGAAGTGTCTATTGTCTATTTCAACATTGAATATGGCCAATTAAAAGAAGAGTCTCTCCACCATTTGAAAATCCAGAGAGAGATTCCAAATGAGAGAGTGATCCCCACACGAACATTTATCTCCCTCCGCTTAAAAAATTTCTCCTTTTCCTCTTCCTTTCTTTTTTTATCTTTTGGCTCACTGAACATGCCCTTCCTTCCTCTTTTTTAAATTTTCTCATCTTCCTCCTTCCACCACTCTTAGTCTTTACCTCTTTCTCATCTCCAAATTTCCCTCAAAAGACAGATACATAGCCCCTTTTTCCCTTCTCCAAACCCAAAAAGACAGCCAACCCCCAGCCACCCAGCCAAAAAAATGTTTAAGCAGTTCTCAATGTTTATATGCTTATTAATGTTGCTGTCCAAAAACCTCAAATTTGTTCAATAAGTTCCAGTTCCCTAATTTCTGCTCACGAGTCTTGCCAAATCCTTGTTATAGTATTCTCGATAGACCTCCATTAGTTATGGAACAGTTTTGATGAATTCCCAAGTTACTAGGTTTGACTTGCTTCCATATGTTGCTTGATACCTGGTCTCATGTTCTGTCACCCACCATTTAAGTCCAGGAATCATCAAAATCCATTTTTTCCCATTGAATGTTTTTGGGTTCTGGCTTTAATCCGGCTGAATGTATTATTTGCATATTAGCTGATGGTTTTAATCATATCTGCTGAAATGCCTGGTAAAATATCTGCTTCTACATCTTTGATGCATATCTCTGCATTATTGCTGCTGTTGCAACAATTCGCTACCGTCATTATAAATGCTTTGAAAAATGGCATTTGCCACATTAACGGCCTCTTAGGATTTTTTTTTTTTTTGTCGTCTTATCTTCCAATGATGCTGTCTTATCTTCCAATGATGCTATGCTTCAACTTCTGATTTATGAATGAGAAATGAACAGGTTCAACTACTGAAGTTTCTGTGCGCCTGTTTCAATTGATTATAGCCCCACTTCACCATGTGCTACGTTGTGCTTAACCCACATTTAAACTGTTGAACCAGATCAATTATTTGCTACAAATAACAATAAACCTCATTGCAATTCTAATTTCCTGCAGTCTAAAATCTGTTGTGCCACTAAATTGCTTCTGAGTCAAACTCTTGCTTGCAGCATTTCGTGTTTTGAAACCAGGATGGCTGCTTTGTACTCAATGTTGTTTGAGAATATGTCTGACGATTGCAATACTCATCACGCTTATTCAAGCACTCTGTCGCCATATTTAAACTGTATGGAATGAAATGAATATCAAGAAACTCCTCACACTAGTGCAACTTATGTTAATTGCATGCAAAATGTGCAATAGGTAGAGTACCGGGACAATCGAAATGGCACGCAAAGCATGCATCCCATCAATATAAACTTTATTGAGCTAGAAATTAGAAAATTATAACAGAATATGATGCCTCTGCCAAACCTTGGATTGACAGTTTTGAGACAACATCCAGTAAACTATAACATATACATCTACATCACCACATCGCACTTATCCAAAGTACCAAATCATTAGGCCAAAGCAACCCCATATCTGCCTCCCAGACTCCACCTCTTTTAAACTGGGCCAAATCACAAACCAAAATTATCATATAAATTCCACCATCAATGTTTCCCAAACCTCCACTAAAATCACCTTCAAAACTTCAAACCCCATCCATTGCCTAAAACACAGCCATCAGTACCTTCCAAACCTCAAACCCCAACTGTATTCCAACATATCTTCCAAGACCACCTATTCCCCCATGAGTCAGTTCCACTTATGTATAAACCTCTAAGCTTGTCCTTATAGAGACATGTCCTAAGTTATGTTGTGACCATTGAATTACAAGCTCTTTGGAGTTGTTCTAAGCCCAAGCTTCCAAATCTGCTACTAGAGGCCACCTAGTAGTCCGTCATCCAAAATACTAGCTGGAGCCCCCAAGACCCCTAATATGTTGTAATCTCATCTTGAGCCCAAGCCTCCAAATCAATCAAAGAGAGGACATCGTGTCAATCATTATCTATGACCCTAGTTATCTCTACTTCCCCCTCCATTGCAGCCACCTACAACTCTTTGGAAAAGATTTTTTGAGGCTCGATTGATGAATGATAATCATGGACTAGATATTATGATATTTTATGATACTTTATTCCTTTTTTTATTACTTGTAATTACATCTAATAATTGGGAGCCCTCCCAAAAAATGGAATGGCCTGTGACATATAGGATTAGCAACAAATGGAAATATGAATACAAACCCTTTCTTACCAGTTCCTCTTCTCTTAATTCCTCTTGGACAACAGCTTTACAGACCCTTTCGTCTTCCCAAATCCAACAAATAAGGGGAAATCAATTTCTATGGTAGAAACCCACATACTTGATACTTCATTCCTTTTTTGATCTATCCCTTTCATGGAAACATGGACCAAAGTTGTGAAGTATAGGCGACATGTTCACATTCCCCGTCAAATCCAGGGATTTGGCCTGCTTCATCCTTCTAAGTTGCAATAAAGGCAACCTAACCGTTGAACCGAGGTGTACCCTCAATTAAATAAGAATGTAAAATGTAGTAAATATACATTAAAGAGATGTCTGGCAACTGATTGGATTTACCTTATTAGGATTTAGTAAATCTCATAAATCTGGATTTACTAAATCCTGAAAACTGTCAGGCAAAGGATTTACTAAATCTTGTAATACTGTCTGGCGACGGATGAGCAGGATCTAAAAAATAGTTAACAGCAGGGAGTTAAAAAAAAAGAGGCATACATAGATGTTCTTAAAGTTCTCTCTAAAAAACAAGTGATTATAATTTCATACTATAAAAAACTGTTATTAACATCCCCAGATCTTATGCTGAGTAAAAGCAATATAAAATTTTTCAACCTTTCTCATTACGCCAAAGCTTTCAATAGTTCATAAAAAAAATTTTGTTTTCAGAAAACAAAGGTCCAATTCCTGTCTCAGCATCAAGGCAGTCTAATCTGATGGATGGAGCAACTAGACAAAAAACGTCAGCCCTTATTAAAATATAATTCAAAGAGATGAAAATTCATACAACCAGCCTTCAAAAATGAGAGAATAGAGTAGGCCTCTACTCCTATTAAATTGATGAAACAGAGAATCAAGTTTCTCATAAGGTGCGAGTGCCTAGTTACTACTGAAATTTAGTATTTAGGATTCTCCAAGGTTTTAATCACAAAAAAGGATGTCAAATAAAACTTGGATACAAAGTTACCGGAAGATATTCTACTAAACAATGGAAATTACCCTGGAATTTATGATTCCAACTGAATGTCTTAATCGTATGCATAACAAGCCAACTGATTCAGCTCCATGATGCCTTGCTCTGCACATTCATGCAAAATATAGATACTATGGATTCGTTGAAACAACTATAAAAGTAACTTGACTTTACTATGAAGAAACACTGACGCTTCGCAGCAAAATAACCAATCACAAGGTGCAATTTTTTGCATAGAATTCATGTGGCCAATTCTTGGGATCAAGCACATGGTGATAATTTGATGCAAACAGGACTTTTGAACGTTCCATGCCTTGTTTAAATATCATATACAATAAAATCCCTTCTCTCCATATAGAGGTAATAAGAAAATGTAAATGATAACTAACATCCCATGTTTTAAACCATAAGCATATCACAACTGACAATGCTCCAGTATCAGGGACCTCCAAATATTTTCCAGCAATGACGTGCAATGCAGTGGTAACCATGCGAAAGCACAAGTCATCCAAGCTGCTATATCACCACGTCAGACGGTACTTCAATATCCCACTATTCTGCAACAAGTGCAAGACAATAAACTTGTTAATCACAATAAAAAGAAACCAACAAAAGGAATTTCATGGTGGAAAGAAGCCTGAATATTAAATTTCCACATGTATTCCCCAAGCACTTTCTACTATAATGTAATTTTTCTCCTTGTTTTATGAGTTCTTGAGAACCAGAAAAATCTTCAAAGTCATGATCCAATATAAATGTCATAGTCTGTGGTGCTCTGCCGACATCAAAGCGGTTACCACGCAAAAACAGCGGTCACCCAAGCTGCTCCACCATGAAAGCAAAAAAAAAAAACAGATATCCCCGAAAGAAAAAAAAAAAAAAACAGAAAGTTGGCATCCGAAATCGCCTAATTAAGGAAACCATGCATGATCAAAATCACAGTTGATTTGTTAATTGATTAGGGAGGGAGAGTGAATAAAAAGACCATATGCAAGCCATAAAAAGGAGCATTGAAAACCAATGTGTACAGAACATTACTAACATAGGCCCCGTTTGGGGCAGCTTATAAGTGCGGGCGGCGGTTT